GATCAAGTATATTAAGAGTATATCCTATGTTAAAACTAAATTATTCTCTAATAAACTAATTAAAAAAAGTATATAAGATGTTCCAATATTTTTTTTGTATTAGCGATATGCCATAATGTCATTATATAATTTTCTATCATATTTGGTATGTCAATTTTTGATAACACGAGAAAATTTATATATTTTAAAATAATTCACATAAGATAGTTTGAAATTATTTTTTACTTTTGATTCTCTACTTTTATTATATTGTAAGATTAAATTAACTCTGTAATTAAAAACAAATAACAGTCCAATAAATACACTTTTTAAAACTTAAGGAAACATCTTGAGAGAAAAAACCTTATATATGATCGTTTTGTAACGTATGGTATTAAATATCAATAATTGATACAATAATTTTGTAAGTTTAGGCTCAAGCTTAACTAATCTTGACACACCATTGACAATTTTGTACTAATTTTTTTCTCTATGCAACTAATATTAAAATATTCATTTAAAAAAAATGTTATGAACTTCATTTGATAAGATAAAAAAATAATTCTGAAAAAACCAAAATTTTTTTATGTCACATACAATCTTGATTTTTGTATAGAGTATTTTATGCAAATACTCATAAAGACATGAATAAAAATAAATTTAAAACTATCATTCTGTTAAAAAATTGTGGAAGCTATATAAATTTAGATAACATAAGAATCAATTTCTATAAACCAAATATGTGATCAATCAATTTCAAAAGCATTTGAATTTCACTAATTTTTTACATGTGTTTATCTATAAATTATTGCATATTTCACTTTAGAAGTTTTATCTTTCCGATCACGTGTGGACTCAATATTTTTTTTTTACAATAGTGGACCCGGACTATAACGAAAAGATAGAATACGCTGAATTTCTAGAGCAAAATTGAAAATATAGTAATCAAATAAAAATATTTATATATATCATCATATGGTTCACTTTCATATTAAACATTTAAAAATGATGTTTGAATTTATATAAATATAAATTTTGAGCATAAATCTTAAATATCATTTAAGTATATCAATGTGTATATATATATATAATATTAAAATAATTTTAAAAATCATCTAAATAGTTGTTCCGCGCAACGCGTGAATTTTCACTAGTATTCAATATATCAGGAAATATATTTGTTATATATTTACAAAAATACAAATAATTTTATTTTAGATGTATATGTGATAAAATGACGCATTTTACTACTTTTTTTAAGAGTTAACTAGCCTATAATACACACATTGTATTATCAAATCCTATGAAGAACGGGTACTTTGTTTTGGTGCCGTCTCCCGGACTGAAAACGGTACAGAGACGGGTACGGCTCGGAGACACCATCGAAACATCTCCGAGATGTCTTTAACATGTTAGGGACGTCGACAATTAACGGGGGATGAAACTTTTTGAATTTAGAGATGTTTCTCAAACG